TTCCTCCGAAATTGTGCTGAACAGTGAACTGAATCAATGTAAGTCTAGTATGTCTTTGGCTCTTTGCATGTCTTAATGTTTAGGAACGCAAGGTTCCACGGCGTGGAAACAGCTTACTGCGCATTTCTGATCGCACATGACCACAATGCACTGCGCTTGAATGTTCTGAGATAAAAATCCCTATCTACACAAATTAGATCTGCTGCGTCGCTCGCTTGCTACAGGCTCTCTCGCTTCGGCAGCAATTACGAGTTTAATTTAAAAATAGGAAAGAATTAAATTAGCATGCAGATCAGTATAAAATTTAAGATTGAGTTATAGCATTATAAGACTATCATAGATTATTATAGACTGATATGCTTTTTGATCAACAATTTTTTTCATATTGTTTCATAGCATGCCTGATGCCGATATTTTCACATAATTTGCGGTAATTCTTCCGAGACCGGTTTTTATCAGGCTCAACAGTCAAGCCTAATGCCTTGAATTGAAAAACTTCTTTATTGGTTTGACTAGAATAACTCTTAGAGTAGCTAACAATTACTTGAAATTCAGGTTTTCAAAGTCCGAATTTACTGCAAATTGAACATCTAATCTATATGCACTCATCCGTCATCAGCAAACAACCGGGGGCCGGTTATATAAAAAAGTGATTAAAGTTAACTATGATTAAGTGTAAACGTCATCCAATAAGAAGCGCCTATTTGAGAGTTAATCACTATTTAACTACGAAATAGTGATTAAAAAAGTGATTATGAGTTTTAATGTTTTATATAACCGGCCCCGGGGCTTTAATTGTTTACAGTCAGACACAAGGCCAAGGGCAGAACATTAATGTAAAGTAGAAAGAAAAGTAGCCCTTACCACTTTATTTCGAAGTGAAGCCGTTTAATCAGTACTTCATATTTTTGGGCATGACTATAGATATAAAAAATATATGATTTGACTTTTAAGAGCAGTTGAAGTGCACTACCTGTGACTCCATATATAGTAATAATTTCTCGAATAAGATGTCATGGTTAACAGCATCGATGACCTTTTTTACGTCTATGAATACCTGCACAAAAGTGTATCGATTAATTTCTCCATAAAATCGCTTTCTACGATTGATGATGACCTTTTTCAGCAATATCTGCATGTTTTGTACCATATTCAATCAAGGTACGTAGATTAAGTTTATTTATAGAACACACTTTTGACAAACTGAAATTGACTTGTGGGAATAGACTTGTGGGAATATTCGAACAAACTGCACTTGTGAGTTGTGACGTCAATTGGAATACATGCTATATGGAGCGTTAATGAACCACTCGCGGCTGTACTGTTGAAATGTTAATAAGGAAAATTTCAAAAGATGTGTCCACGTTGAAGCAACCTAGACCTAGTGTTTGCCGACTTTCCAGAGGATATCTCGATCGACTATATTGTTTGTACCAATTATAAACGTAATACTATATAGTAGATGTACTAGCTGTAGCACGTATTAGGTGTCACGCAGCAAAGGTCAAAAAGTAAAAACCATATTTACGTTCACGAATATATATATAGGGTTTGGAATATATTTTAGGCATTGGAATATATTTTCGTGTAGGGCTACATAAAGTACTTACCAACCTTAGTCGAGGTCGTAACTGAACCTTACGATGTAGGACGGCAACGCAACGACAACGGCCAGAATAAAATCATTCAAATAAACGATTGTAAAGACTAAAGAATGCATGAAAGTTTGTAGACTATTTAAATAATAATAATTAATATTGATCGTATATCAATTTAATACTGTCTGATTAGCTTGAAATAGTGGCTTTATTGTTGAGAAAGTTCTACTGTCTGTAGTACTGAGCTAATTTGCTGAGTATCACTTCTCGCGTCGATCTTGAAATTTGCAGGCGTTTTATTTTTATTCAGTACGTAAAAGTTTGTAGTTTCCCGTTGTAAACAGGCCGTAGCCTGCGTAGCAGTCGCTTTATTTTTTTAAATTTTATTTCAGGATATTTTTATTTGAGGATTTTTTAATCCTCAAATAAAAATATCCTGAAATAAAATTTAAAAAAATAAAGCGACTGCTACGCAGGCTAAACAGGCCGTGGATGACGTCTCAAACTCCCGTGGTATATTAATTATTCATTTTTCTTAACTATTATGAATCTCATTGTATAAATACCCGTCGTCATAAGGTCTCGCTCTAATATCAATAACGCTTTATACTTTGGCGTGCGTGCAGTGAAACATTGAAATTTGAAAGGTGAGGTATATTTGAAATCTTTTTGTGCATGGTTACAAAACCCAGCTGATATAATTCATTATCCAATATCGTTGAAGTAATTTTGTTTAAACTTTAGTTTATATATTTGTGGATGTTACTGTTGGTATAGCGAGACTGGAGACATGCACTAATACACATCGATACCAACTAAGACGTTTATATCAACGGCAAACATCGCTATATATCCAAACATACCATATCAGGTAACGTCCGAATGTCTCGCTGTTTGTGGATTCCTAATGCTAATACCCCAAACAACGACACATATAAGGCCATACCTTTATTATATCAACGACAGAGGCAGATCATAGTCTTAAAGCTGTTATAAACCAGATTCTTTTAAGTCGGACTGCAACTGTTATATAAATCTATATTCTTCAGGTTTACGGAAATCTGCCCAAATTTTTTTTTGAAATTTTGCGAAGCAGTACGCCAGTAGCAATGTCTATATATTATAGCAATATATATACTATATAGCTTCTGTTTGTTGGCCTTTGTTTATATGAAAAAATTGTGTTCAATGGCACGTGCACGCTCCCCCCCGTATTCACGTGCATGCTCCCCCCCCGTATTCATAAGTGCACAAGACTCTTCCCTCGACAATCAGGTTTCTGGAACAGTGTCTCTTGCAGTAGTAAGAATATATATATATATATATATATATATATATATATATATATATATATATATATATATATATATATATATATATATATATATATATATATATATATATAACTAACAATGAGATGATGGATGTGGGACACATAAATTATATGTACGACAAGAACGCCATTCAACCTAATACGCATGATCTCTCCATTTCACAGATTTAAATCAGCGCAAAGGCCTATAGGCAATTGTGCCCAAGCTCACTACCAGCAACTGCGGACAGCTGTTTCGCCCTTTTGGGGCTCGTCAGCGCAGTGTAGCTGATGGTGAGCTTTTCATCCGAAAAGTATTTATACAACCAACAATGAGATGATGGATGTGGGACACATAAATTATATATACGACAAGAACGCCATTCAACCTAATACGCATGATCTCTGCATTTCACAGATTTAAATCAGCGCAAAGGCCTATAGGCAATTGTGCCCCAAGCTCACTACCAGCAACTGCGGACAGCTGTTTCGCCCTTTTGGGGCTCGTCAGCGCAGTGTAGCTGATAGTGAGCTTTTCATCCGAAAAGTATTTATTAAGTTATTTATATGTCACGCTGATATGCATGAATAACAGGAAATACGAACGTGAACGTTAGAAAAATGAGGAACTTTTTAACAAAGTGTGTGCATGCTTTGACCTTCCTCTACAAAAAAGTTCCCATAGATAAAATATAACGTACTGTTTAATAAACGAGCAGGAGTGTTTTATTAGGTTTAAAGCCACGAGCGCGCAGTGCGAGTGGCTTTAGACCTTAATAAAACACGACCTGCGAGTTTATTAAACGGCTTCAAACACGACTACAAATTCAATAGATTTACTGCCTTATTAGTATTCTTTATATAAAGAATACTAATGAGGACACGACTACAATAGAATACTGCCTTATTAGTATTCTTTATATAAAGAATACTAATTAGGAGTGTTTTATCAGGTTTAAAGCCACTGCACGTGACATATTATGGTTGACATGATTTGCCAATAAGCTTATGAATTATTAATGAGTGTTTGAAAGTAAGTTTACTAATGCCTGGTTTCCATATGGTCGTATAATGGTCGTAAAAACATAGTCACGATCTTTCTCAATTTATATACCTGTAAACCCCATACAAATCATACATATATTCTCTAGTTATAATCACTCCGCGTATTTTCAGTTCTCAAATGTTGTATTTCGGCTGATGAGAAAGATCGTGACTCAATCTTTACGACCGTTACGACCATATGGAAACCAGGCTTAAGATAGTATAAATAAGAGTGAGAATCAAAGTTAAACCCGGATCAAACGAGGATGAGAGTGCATGAGAGTGCGCAGTCACGCGACGTGGGTTCGCTCATGTATGGTTTCTCAACAATTTAATGTATCAAACCTATAGTTTGTTAATCTATAGAGCTCGAAATATCCGCCGTAACAATGCGTGACTGCCAATTTAATACTCTCATCCTCGTTTGGCCGGGGTTTTAGTCATACGGTAATGGACCATTTGCATTATAGACTAAATTTTGATCCAGACAAAAATTTCATCACAGCTTGAAAGAGCATCACAAAATTAGTAATATTCCAAAGTTTCGTTGCGAAATGTTGTAAAATGCGGATAATATAGCCTT